GATGTTCTTTGACCTGTGAGAAGTCGATAAAATGACCGACGAGCATCTCAAGTTTACTGGCTTACACCTGAGAGCATGCAATGAGTTTCACTACCTTCTGGGCGCTATAATCTAGAGCAAAAGGTCTATTTTCCAAGACAAAGAGAAAAGGGTCGACCTAAATCGTCATCAAAGTCTGAAGCTGATAAACATCAACCAATAAACAAGCCTTAAGTAATAGAATATCTCAATAAATTACCTTTTATTAATTTGACCTGACAATTAAATAACTTTTAATTAAAGAAGAAGAGTCTAAATGACAAGTCAATTGCTTATTTATTCATTCACTACCCAACCAATAAGATAATACTACCATCTAATTGCTGTTCTAAAATGCTGAGTTTTCAAACTGAAAGGTCTCCCAACTTCTCTATATCAATTAGAATTGCAATGTCAGTAAACTTGCTGCTAAAATAGATCATTTAAAGAGGGACCTGTAAGTCTAGAAATTATCAATAGCTCAAGTTTTGAGGTAGATAAATAACCAGGAGATTGAAGCAAGAGAAGAGTGACTGAGGCCACGAACATGCCGGTGCTAGTTACTGCAATTGGAAGCCAAACTCGAGGGCGGTGGTCCGTGAAAGCCACAGGAAACTTAATTACCCGAGGTCGCCGGATACAGGGGGAGAAAACGATTATTCGTCCAAGTCCTCTCTCGATCCTATCCTTCTGCTATGGGTAATTGCACTACTCACTTGTTTTCCCCAATCACTTTTACCTCGTAAAACTTCTAAATCCTAGCCTGTAATGGCCAAAACTATCTACGTTACTTTCATCGTGTCACAAAGTTGTTCGAAAAAATAACCAAATTGTCAAAAGTTTTCTGGATTAAGTAATCTCTATCGATAAACTAGTGTAACGAAGCTGTCATGTGGCTAGAAAATATCTTCTAGATAAAATATTATTGGATAAATCTAACTAATGAAGAAAGACAACTCTCCAACATTCGACACCTGGATTAACGAGCTAAAATATCCCTTCGTTATCGTCCACATTAGCCCACACCAATGATTGAAGCAATCTGACTCTGTAATTTTATCTCTCTACTTTTTTACGCTGTGGCAAAGAATTTATTTCCTACAAAAAAAAAAATACGTTGACGTGTTCTCTTCTGAAGTTATAGTTAACGTTAGGGGGAAAGGATTTTATGCGCTTTAATGGTACTCTAGAGACGAAGAGAGCTTTTTAATTGGCTTCTCAAAAGACGAACCGTGTGCGATCTTTTTTTGTATCATCTTATCTTTCCCTTTAACGTTTCATTTTTTTCACTTTGCGGTTCGAGTCTCCTTATATTTTTTCTTTCAATATTAAGCACGAAAAATTACCTGAGGCTTCTTCTAAATAACTCAAAGATTTAGAAAAAATCCCTTTTTATTATAAACACCTAATATTATTGTTGATTTTAATTATACCTGAAGTATTTGTTATCAAAGTAACACCGAATCCCTAGAGATAAACTTAAATTAGCTTTGCTGATGCTTAATCACTGGACCAAACTTGGATCAAGCTTGGTATCTTGAGCATCGACATTCAAAATTTGACCATGGCTTGGTTCATTGTCAAGTTCAGTATTGAACAAGCAGATCACTTGATTGTCCTCTACATTAAATCGTTAATAGAAAAAATGAACAAGTTCGTACTGGCCTAATATTAATAAACTAGAAACAGTTATCATTATAAATGCACAAATGTGAACAATAGCAGAATATATTATTCCAGTTCCTTATTTATGATGATTAATTAAATTCAGAATCAACTGCTCTAATCAAGTTGAGGATAATCCAATTAAACCAATGAGGAATAGGAATGTTGCTCCGTCACTTCTGGTCCAAGCACGACACTCTCACTTTCTTGGTATCCTGCATCTCACCAGAATGAAGTCCTGTGCCATTCCACATTCAATACCACTGGGACAAAATTATTGGCTTTTTAAAGTGCAACTATTGAGTCCAAATCTCCTCATCGGTACGTGAATGGCTACGGCGTTGAATATTGGTTTTTTCAACGTCTTTTGGGACTATCCAGCCACAATTGAATAATCAAAATAGCCAGTCAACCATCCTTACTTCTAAATCATCAAAGCGTGATAATTGACAATCGTTTACATCAATTATTGTGTAAAAGAAAATCAGTTTTTTTTTAGAATATCATATAAATTTCTATAATTCTCATGTTCATTATCTATAATAAATGAAATCAATCTTTATCTGACTATATTTATTATTAATTGTTATTCATATTGTTTATACTTTATGGATACATTACAACTGATAAGTCATGTAACTCAAGTTGATGAAAATTAATTCAACAAAGTTCAAACAAATAAAAACATGAAATAAGTTAATTAGAGCTATGGTCATAGTTTCAAAGTTGATATATAATTTGAATGAAAATGATTGGATATGAGAAGGGTTGTGTGATTGATGCCTTCCATGTCTCAATGTTAAAACGTTGCTATTGGTGTCAGGTACACTGAGAAAGTTTCTACAGGTGCTAGTCGCAAAAGCGTTCGTTAGATACTGGGTAGATAGAATTGAGAGGTAATTAGTCTATGAAAGATCAAGTAGTCAGTTCAAGTTGAAGTTTCAAAAGCAGAGAAAGACTGAAATAAAATCAGTATAAAAGAGTGAATAACAGCTTGAAGAAAAAGAATACAATTTTACCAGCTGGGAAAAATTAAGACGGTAAACCAACACTGAATCATGGCCGTTAGATTGGATTAAGTTCAACTGAAAATCAGAAGGGAATCTCTGTTCATCCTTAAGATAGTAATTCCAGTTGATTCCACCATTAAATATTATGTGAGTGGATAAATCTGTAGAGAAAGAAAACTGATGGAAATTAAAAATTTATAACTATTTTAAACCTGAATCAATTTTGTTGGTTCACATTTTGTTGATGAATTGGCTATAGTTAATGATTTTAAATTGTTGATAAATATGAAATGAAATTTGAGATAATGAATGGCTTTGTGACAAATTATTAGCCAGTTATGATCAATAAAATGTACAATTAATTAGAAATTTATTATTAATATAAATTAACTCAAAGCAGTAAATAAATTATTATTATTAATCAACCAATTGTCTATGAAATAATGAATAGGAAAAAAAATATGGTAAAGAAAAAAATGTTTTATAAAAACAAACTATTAAAAATCATCCTAAATAATAGAAAGTGAGAGAACAGTTTTCAATTTCAATATTTTCATGAGATTCTTTCTCCATCAACCCTTCAAATATACCTTAAATTGAATTTTTTTATTCCTATCCAGTTTTCTATGGGTGTTAATAAGTTAAATAGATTTGAAATGGAATAAAAAATAATATTATAAAAAAACTTCTGCTCTGATTTTGATTTATTTTAAATTAATTTTTTCCCTTAATTGAATTTAGAAAAAAAGTAATTGTTTCGAATTCAATCAAACGTGCAAACAATCAATACCAAAGCGTTACATTCATTGACGTACCAAGATGATTTGGAGTCTGAGAAAAACGATAGATTCTTTATACCAAGTCTCGACTGTAGAAAATAATGGAGAAAAAAAGTAGCAAAGAATATATTGTTGAAATACCAATTTGATTCACGTCGTTACGTTTCCACCAAAATGTCGATAGAATTTTCGAGCTTTCGGCGAGCAAAGTCGACAAGCGTAGCTCAAAGTACAAGTTACAAGCATCTATATGTGGTACATGTTGTACCTAGTACATGCATGTAGGTATACATAGTGAAACTGTCGTTCACTCGCCGCAAATGTATTCTTTGTGTGTACAAATGCCACATCTATGTGCTGAACAGCATAGTAAAGCAAAAGTATCAGTATATTCCTCCTCTTTCTCACCGAATATCGATTCAGCTTCTGCATGCGCGCCAAGTCTAGACTCTAGACCAGGAGGCTTGGAGAGGTCGAGACCGAATAAACCCAAGCCGACGACGCGGCCAACCGTAAGCGTGAAAAGCCGCACCCCGCTAGTCTGATGCGAAACGGCTGTGACTATTGCGATGCATTCAAGCCAACGAATCTGTAACACATTCGTTAACTCGAATGCCCAGTATTCGCTCATAGTATCCACAAAGTTTGCATCGTAGTGTCATTTGTGGCCAACTCTCCACTGAACTTAAGTTATTTCCACCAAAAAAGCTATTAAATCTCATTCCAAATATCTATTTATGCCGAATATCCAAATAACTTTTTATTATTAATAACATAACTGAAGTTCAGTTGGCACTGCTAGCAAAAAAAAGACTATTATATACATTCCATCTTAATTAATTCATTTCCAGCAGAATTTCATTGATTCAAAATGGGAGAAAATTGTTTTGACATGTTTAAATTTTTTAATAGGATCAATCATGACTATTAGTTATGATATAAAGCAGATTTGAATAAATGGACCTTGGAGAGTCTCCTAGACCTAGTAAAACTATCTAAATAAAATGTTATTTAGAGGTTCCTCAGTTAATTCAGGTCTTGTATACTTACAAGAGAGAAGTCATCAAGAAAAGATGATGAACTAAACTTAGGCCAAGGCTAGGCAAGCTTTGACTTTTTTGGAGTAAAGAGAGAAAGATTTATGGAAATTTAGCCTTGGCTTAGTGTTCACATTCTCACTCTTACAATAACCGTAGCTACCTGGCGAGTAGTTGGAGTAACAAAAGTAAGCGTTGTCCAGCGCTGACTTGAACTACTTAATCTAAAGCTGACTAAAGTGACCAATCCTATAAGGAGATGAGATTTGCCGATTACTGATCCAATAATGGACCAACATTTTCAAGATTTATCTAATGTTCGATCAGGAATGAGTCACTTTTGCTTCAAAATCAAAGTTCTAAATGTAAATCAGAAAGTCTTTTGGACCTTGATCTATGCTTGGATTTGAATAAAGATTATCTATACTTAACATAAGTAATGTTTAAAAAAAAAAATAAAAGCACGTAATGAAAAAACAACTGTTACTTACGACGTCAATGAGTTGAGACAGACGTAGTCCCATTTTAACAGTGAGGCGATCGCTGTTATTACCAACTGGCCGGATGAGTCGATTATAGTTGGACAGTAAGTCCTCATACAATCGCTTGGAATCAGGATTGGCAGTCGCAACTGGCAGCGACGCGATAAACAAAGACATAGCAAAAGCCATGGCCAACAATCCGCCCAGCCTGGACCACCATCCCCACCAGCCTTTCCCACCGTAGTCCGCCCAAGCATCTCTGACCATCGTACGCCGAGTCCACCCCTGGAAACATTAACCACAAAGATCCAGATCAAATATCATGACATTTATGTGCATTACTGTTACAGACATTTAGTATCATACAGGCAAACCACTAGAGATATCCTATTTCATCTATTATTATTCAACTGTTGGTTGAATTATATACTACATTGAAACTTGTTTCAAACCAGTACTCCTGATCAATATCTCTCAGAACATTAGTGTCAATTAATCGCCATGATTTCAAATTCAATGTCAGTGTAAACGTACGTTTCATCATTACTTTGTGTGATAACACTTTGTAGTCTAGGGTGGAAGTAAATAAGCTGTGACAAAGATTAGAGAATTGAATTTCTCAAACTGATTAGCAGAAGTAAGAACGCCAGATTGACAGGTATAACGGTGTTTGTATTTCTCTAACACTAACAACCGATCAGATCAACTTAGCAAGTTTACCTTCAAGCCTTGACCAAATTGAGATCATCCCTTTCAGAACCATGTATTTGCATCCTGAATGGTATTGACTTGCTTTTACACTAAACTCAGACATTCATCAAACCTCAAGAACTAATTCACTACAAGTTTATTTTAGACACATAGGCTTGTATATTTTTTATCATTTCAAATAAAGTTTGCTATATTAAATAGCTCTCTAATTAATACTTTGAACATAAGAGTTTTGACAACTCATTTAAATTACATGTCAATCTGGTTTACTGAAATGTTGTCAAAATTTAGGTGAAATAGTCATGAGTTTATTACCTCTTTCCAGCATTATGTTTCATATTAAGGCATAAGTAGTTTAATGAAACATAAAAGAGCATGATGAAGATAATCATAAAAGAACAGTAAAAAATTCCAATGTTGTAAACCAACTTAAAAAAAAGATTGCAAGAATGAAAACACAGGATAGAATGTTTAGTGGTAACATTCAGTTTACTTTAAAAATGGTATAGCTTTCGAGAGCACGTGGGGACAAAAATAAAATAATAATAAAAATAAAAGGAAATGAATATAATGAAATAAAGAAAAGGGCTGGAAAATTTTTCTGTCTCTATCAATGGGTATATTCATATCACGTAAGACTGATCTACTTTTTAAGTGGGAAAATACGTGAGCGTGAATTTTTTTATTGCATCTCCATGAAGTCTGCGGCGAGACTGTTAAAAGAAGAAAGGATGGTTTCTATGAGAAAGAGAAAACTGGAAAAAGCCCACGAGACTCTGGCAATCACCCAGCTACTCTTTTCTAACTACTACTCGTTTCTCTTTTTATTCTTTCTATTCTTCCTTTCTCGTCTCTTCTCACACTTTTTTCCCTAGCAGATTTATGAAGAAATGTCCGAAAAACCCATAAAGATTCTCATTTGTGAATTCACAATGTAGCTCTCAGACAACCAAGAAACCTAGTGAAAATTAATGTTGCTTTTCCATTCACCTTTAATAGCAAATGAAAAAAGCCATGAATTATCTCTGCTTGTAATTTTTTTTTTTTCAAAAATTTGCTGTAATTTAAATAAGTGTTTTGCGTTTAAAATTATGAAATGTTTATCTTGAGTTGTAAAAAGTTGACTTCATTTTTAGATTATTATCAAATGAATCAATTTATCATGACCCAACAATTCTTAACTGCTGCTCATTAGTCTGAACATCATAACAGACTATTTTAAATAAATCAATAATTTAAACTATTGTATATATGTGATCTAATTTTCTACATCATTGCCTACCCGGAATTGGCTCTGGAGATAAAGCTCAAAATATCGAGTTATATGATGTTGTCTCATTTTCATGAAATTGGTGGCAATTATCATGGAATGTAAACAAAATAACATTATTTTCTTTGATAATAATATAGTGAGTAAATAGTATATATATATTTGATTATCTAAAGGAAAATACTAAACAATAATCAGAATTGAATTCTGTTTATCTCTAGTCTCTTGTCGCATATGGAATGCGATTACGGGTTGAACAAGGGGATGAGCTAGTTTGAACCATGGAATCTAGGTGGACAGAATCATCGATCGGTTAGCAATCGCGATAAACTCAATGCAATGCATTCAAGTGTACTCTATATAGACAAAGCTAAAGCTCGATCTTGTTGCTAGCAGCTGACTTGGAGACTCTTTCTGACCAGTTGCTCAATAAACTCAACAAAATATCGGAATACTTATTCTGAATTCAACTTTCAAGGCACTTTATCGACTTTATTTAAAGCCACAAAAAAGAACTCTGTTAGAACGTTTGATGGAAAAAGTTGAATAAACTATTTAAAATGCATCCTTAGAAGATTTAAAGTCCATTTTGTCGTTGGAGAACAACTGAAAATTTACAAATTTACACTATCTTCACCTATCTCCACCACCTTTTAAAACCTTCTTCTCCAGTCTAATGAATTGTAAAATTATCCTATCGGTAACTATATATCAATTTTATCTTTGTTTGAACTTGGATCTACCATTGGCCAACTAACTGTGATCAGATAACATATTCTAATTGTTTTTTGTGTAATTTAATAATGTATTTAGCATTGGTTCAAGTTCAAACCAGGAATAGACCAGTCTTTATTTCTACCAGAATATTCTAATGACTATCATTATTGATATCAGAGAAATTATTGCTTCTGAACTGTTCTGATAGACAATAAGACTGATATGTTCATCTGTATTGAGCAAGTCTCTGATGAGTAAACTGGTGTAAAACTTGAACTTCCTCTAGTAGATCGAACTGTGATTATTAACTTTTTCACTTTTACATTTGGTATCCATCAATTTGACTTAAAGCTTATCTACTTCATGGAAGTTAGTGTAATTTTTCTATTGAGAATGATCCGAGCCAAGTTCGTTCATCATGTTAGAAAAATCTTGTTGTCTCATCTATATCTATTATTCACCTGCTTTGATGTTGAAGTCTTAATATGTTTTACTAGTAATATTCAAAACAATTACCAACATTTTCAAGCCAAATCCTGAGGATTATGAGTGAATTTCATGTATAATTATTTTAATTCTCCAGTGTGCCAATTTTATGAACATGTGAAATACAAGCACATGTACTTGAGAACAACGGGCCACAAAATATTGTGTTTACATGTAGGTAATTACAGTTTGAAAATTTGTATGACTCTTTGGACGTTAAATTATACAATCCGTTGAACGAAAAGCGTGAGTGTTATTTGCCCATCAGATATATCAATCGAGTTGGAAATGTCGTACTTGAACAAGTTTGTATTTATCATGTCCAAGCGTGGTTATACCGCATTTGTCTTTTCTCTTTATTCATTCACATGTCTATTTCTATCTCTCTGTGTTATGACCCAGCCGTAACCACCAGCGATGTTTACCAAAGTCACCGTAAAACACGATTACCCACGTAGGATCGTCGTTCGATCAGGCATCCATGCCAGTGCGAAATACATTTACGTGGTTCGTCGACTGTCATCAGGTTTAGGTCCCACATATCTGTTATTTAAAATAACGGAAACGTAACCGTTATCTCTCATGTTTCGCTGAATATCTACCTATTTTATTTAGCTCTAAGCAATTCCGGTACTATTTATTCAAGCCTTTAGATAACAAGCATGCCTAAATATCATACTCAACAATTTCCATGTTTTTTTTATAACTAATTGCGGTTTACTAGAAATTATGAAAATAAATTTCGGTAATTAATTATAAGAAAATTAAAAATTATATAATTTCGTATCCGGTTTATCAAGCATTTGGAATCCAAAGCAGGTCGAAAGGTCTATAAAGAAATAGTTGCATTACCAAAACTAGTAATGATCTCCATTTCAAACAGAATCATATTCCATTTTGATCAATATTTATGAGTAAAATTTTTTCAATTTTTTTTAATTATAAATGATTAATTATTTGATCTATTTTAACTTGAGAGTTGATTACCGTGAATGCATTTATCCTATTCAGAGACTTGCAGCACTTCTTCTCTTCTTTTATTATTTTTCCAAAGTTACACACGATAAATCATTCAATCTACTGAGAAACGAGGGTTCAAGCACATTTGTTACACCGGGCTGAGCATTTTTTTTTCTTGCTTTCCGTCGCTAGGAAAATATACAGAAAAAAAGAAAATAATCGAGAAAAAAATTCAATAACTCTGGAAGCCATGCAAAAGTAAAACTAGACACGCAAAAGAAACAAAAATTGCAGTGTATACACTAACAGTAGGTTTTGTAGCGAGACATTCGCGTGACTTTGAATTATTGCTATCAATCGTGGTAAGTCTACTGACACTGAAATAAATTGTTAGATTCCGAAAGAAAAGCTACTCAATAAAAAATGAATGACGTCTATTTATGTCAATCCCAAAGACATTACATTCGTTATACGATCATGAAAATCTTTCTTGTTTTTATATCTATCAAAAAATGCTAAGAAAAATATATGTGACTGTTCATTATGTTAATGGTTCATAAATGTCTTCTTAAGGGAGCAAAAATCACTTACTTATAGAAATAATACTCTAATCCTTACAATTAGTCAAGGTCCATTAAATTATATTGATAGACAGGCAGACGATAAAATTTTCATCGTAAATTGGTTGTTAGATTTCAAATTATACTAAAAAAAAATTTATAGATATAGGAATAATACCGTATTGCTCAGATTAACTACCTAAACTCTAATAATACACAGGATTGCTACTATAGCAATACATCACTAGCTCATACGATTGAGATAATAGTGGCAGCTATCTAGATAATTGAAGTAGGCATAAGGATTACTAGGTAAGCAATCTACTTCAGCTATACTTTGGATTTCTCCTACAATAATTTTATTTTCTAATGTACGAATAGAGTAATAAATAAAACAAATAAGTGTATGTCATGGGAGACCCCATACGGAAAAAAATATATTATAATATATAATAATATAATTTTTTGGCTAAATCTTGTATGATTAAATTAAAAAAATATAGGGGTAATTATTTAGTTTAGGTTGCATTATCTAAATTTTCAACTTTGAAAAAATATGTGAAGGAACAATTTCCGCGCCC